TTTTATGCTCACAACATCTTCCGAAAAAAACTTTAACTTAATTGCATCAAGAAAAAAAACAAAATACAAGAAATACTGTGAAAATCACGTTTTCGTGTGGAAACTATAACATTTTTACGTTTTTATCGTGCTGCTTACCTGAGACGCGGACCAAGAACCAGATTCGCGGACCAAGGACCATCGAAAACGGTCGCCTTTTTGCGAATTCCAAGCAAAATATTTATGTCTGGAACTCGAAATTTCAGGATTACCGACAGGAACATAAAAGCTAACTTCAGGGAGTATTTCAGCTCGTTACATGAAGATTCGGGTAAGATATTCAAGTTAATGACTTTTACACGCGGACCAAGGACCAAATACTGTATTAAGCTTAATATAAGCTTAAGAGCGAATGCACAGAAAAATCGAGCAAACCGGGCCACAGCTCAAAACCTAACCTACCCTCATTTTAAGTCTGTAATAAGGTTTTAATGAGTTTATAACACTGCTGAGGTTTAAATTTCAAAATGCGGCCGAGTTTGGGAATTATTAGAGATTTTCGATTTCAACGGTCAGCGGGCCTAAAATTAGCCACCGAACTCGGGAAAATAGCCCAGCGACAGAAATGAGCTGACTTTCATAAACGAGCGAATATATTGGCAATCTTCCACTTAAATCTCAAAAAACAGATATTAACAATTTCTAAACAGCACATTTTGTTAGATTTAGAGAATAAAATATCGACGAACGAGCACAATTTTGAAACGTAATTTGCATAATGCTTATAAATACAACAATTTACCGCTAAAACCAAAATCGAATTTTCTATATGGGGGAATTCTCCAAATCCCCCCAAATCCCGCTTACTACCTAATGAGATATAGTACTTCAACATTATCTGAAAGTTAGTCTGGTGTTCTTGCGAACGCTTGTAAAATAGATTGATTATTTTGAGGTTATTTTGCCCCAACAACCGCTAATTGACCCCAGGGTCAGTTGACACGTGCACGTCACCTTAGTTTTATGCATCGATTTGAGCTCGTTAAAAGGGAGAAACTAACAAGATTCTTTTAATATGTACCTGTTTTAATGAAATACACGCAATCTTCAAAAGGAGAGGCCGTTCAATGGGTAATTTCTGTTCTTGAGATCTTGTAGATTGTCTGCGAGTGGACCTGAGTCTAGGTCTGTCTTCCCGTGACTGCGAAATCAGAATAACATCATGAAATAATTCTCGCTCGAACCTTCGTAAATGAATCAGCTTTGCAGTGCCTTGCCTGAGATAAAAAGTGGGCCGAATAGCAAAACATTCTAGCACAATTTGGATCCTTTGCTGCACGTAGTGTATTTGCTAAGCGGCGATGGTATTAGTTACTCACCTCCGATTGCGTGACCAGGCAATTATCGATTGTCTCCTGCGAAAAATAAGTGCACAGGAAACCAAAGCTTTCGGGATACAGTAAATTTATTTTGCTGTATTACCAGGTGTCCTTGTGTCCTATTTTAAAAGCGGTTAACTAAGATGATTACCAAACATACTGTCCCACTTTTAAAAATGGTACAATAACTGAATGTTCTGTTCTTCTGATTTTACCCCCAACCCCGGAGTGTTCAGAAGATATATTTGCTCTACGCATGAAGGGCAAATGGATTAAATTTTAAGGTTCAAGGCGGTTTTAAGGCATGGGTTACCAGTGGATTAGTCAGACTTGTCATAAGGTGCATTGAACAGAAAATTACAGGCATGATATCTCTGCTATTGTAGGTCCATTAAGTGATTTTCCAGCATAAGCAATGGCATTGCTTAAGTCCTAGTAGTTGTTCTCCATGTCGGTTAAGGAGGAAATAGTTTGCTCTTTTCAAGAAATTGTTTTTGCCCATTGCGGTTTCAAACCAAGGATAGCAGCAAGTCAGTCGTGGTCATGTACTGCTACTTCAGTGCAAACGAAGCATAGGCGCACAAGTCAGCGCTTGCGTTTAGTCAGGTGCCGAAAATGAAGTGGAAACTTAACCCCAATACAAGGGCGTCCATGTTCGCTGCGGCTCGAAAAGGTAGAATCAGTTGTGCAGTAAAAAGTAATGCGAAAAACCTGCGGGGGCTGGGGAAAGAAAGGCGTCTTATTTTTCTTTGGGTTGTTCTATTTTCGCGACGTGGTACAGGCTACGAAATACTGACAAGCTCAGTATATGTCTTCACCACCGAGAGTCACTGGCCCTTAGCCGGACACGCCCCTCACGTATCACGTTCCTAAAGTTATTTCAAAGCACAGAACCAAACCTAATCAGCGGCCGAAGGCAGAAAGGGGGATGAGCAAACGGATGTCACAGCATATTTTGCAAGAAACCGGTATCCTTGTGCCTATCGGCTCAGGAACGATTGATTACTACTAGAATTTATATCAGGGTCAGAATTTGAGTGCTACAATGGGAGGGAAGGAAGAAAAGGAAACCGCCGCGCACACCTGTTAAGTCTTCTATAAACTTTCTCGTCCTGACGGTTTCAAAGAAGGGCGTTGTGGCTGCTATTTAATTTACAGTGTCTGTTGCAGGTGTCGAATTAATCTTACAGCAACTGGAAACGTGGCCACCCCTTCTGAAACTGAGATTCCTTGTAGGATGAACGGCTATAGTTTGGTATATTCACGAGCGCGTTTTGTCCAGTGAACTGAGTGCGTAGTTTTTCTTCACGAAGGGATAGGGTGGGTCAAGTGAATAGTTCGGGGAACGTTTGCTCTCTTTAGGCGGGGGGGGGTATATTTGTTGATATCAGGAGTTCTGGCCTGGTAAAGCTATTTTTGCTTCGGAGTATCGGTTTACCGGAAGCTGAGCAAGGAAAAGTCAATGGTGCATTTATGGAATAATAATAGAGATTCTCATGGTCTAACAGTGCGAAGATTAGACTTCTGGTCAAGGCCCGCATTATAATTCATGATAATTGAAGGTCATGATGTGGAAAAAGCGACTGAAATGGTGGATGCCATGCAATCCTCTCGGGTGGGGGCGGCGTACCTGGCCTTAACGGTTGCCCCTGCGACAGAAGGCAAGCATGCCCAGATTGTCAACGGGTTGCACCATCATTTTGGGCTTAAAGCTTCCAAAGTCCAACAATAACAGCGCATGTTCGCGACGGTTTTTTAAGACAGTCAAGTTCTTAAACCAGGCCTTAAACAGCCAGTTTTAAGTGTCGATAACAGTTAAAAAGGCATACAAGCCTCATGCAAAAGACAGTGGGAAGGAAGTGCCCATCGGTGATGGGGAAAAAGGAGTAGCCCACAGCTATTTAGGGGTGGATCTTTCGAAACATTCTTATACTCTTGGACAGATATGCATTATTTAAAGTTTTAGACAAACCAGGTGTAAACTTATAGTAACGAACTGTTAAATATACATCAGCAAGATTTTTGCGAATCCTATTTTTCGCCGGAGACTATCATTTACTGGCTCGTCACGCAATCAAAGGTAACGTACTTTCCCACGTTTGTTTACTCATCTTTCGCTCAGCAATACACTGGGTTCCACAAAGGATCTAGTCTGCTACACAGCCGTTTTTAGTGTCGTCACGCAACGCTCCTCCCCAGGGGAGGAGCGTTGCGTGACGACACTAAAAACGGCTGTGTAGCAGACTACAAAGGATCCAAATTGCGCTAGAAATGTTTTGCTATTCGGCCCACTTTTTGTCTCAGGTAAGGCACTGCAAAGCTGATTCACTTACGAAGATTCGAGGGAGAATTATTTCTTGATGTTATTCTGATTTCGCAGTCACGGGAAAACAGACCTAGACTCAGGTCCACTCGCAGACGCCATGCTGCAATCTACAAGATCTCAAGAACAGAAATTACCCATTGAACGGCCTCTCCTTTTGAAGATTGCGTGTATTTCATTAAAACAGGTACATATTAAAAGAATCTTGTTAGTTTCTCCCTTTTAACGAGCTCAAATCGATGCATAAAACTAAGGTGACGTGCACGTGTCAACTGACCCTGTGGTCAATTAGCGGTTGTTTGGAGCAAAATAACCTCAAAATAATCAATCTATTTTACAAGCGTTCGCAAGAACACCAGACTAACTTTCTTTTAATGTTGAAGTACTATATCTCATTAGGTAGTAAGCGGGATTTGGGGTGATTTGGAGAATTCCCCCATATAGAAAATTCGATTTTGGTTTTAGGGGTAAATTGTTGTATTTATAAGCATTATGTAAATTACGTTTCAAAATTGTGCTCTTTCGTCGATATTTTGTACTCTAAATCTAAAAAATGTGCCGTTCAGAAATTGTTAGATATCTGCTTTTTGAGATTTAAGAGGAAGATTGCCAATATATTCGCTCGTTTATGAAAGTCAGCTCATTTCTGTCGCTGGGCTATTTTCCCGAGTTCGGCGGCTAATTTTAGGCCCGCTGACCGTTGAAAACGAAAATCTCAAATAATTCCCAAACTCGGCCGCATTTTGAAATTTAAACCTCAGCAGTGTTATAAACTCATTAAAACCTTATTACAGACTGAAAATGAGGGTAAGTTAGGTTTGAGCTGTGGCCACGATTTGCCGATTTTGCTCGATTTTTCTGTGCATTCGCTCTTAAGCTTTTAATTGATTGTTTCCATATTATTGAGTTATGGCTTGAATTTCAGCCGCTTCTCTTCCCAAATGACTTGACTTTGAAAAACAGCAGCCCATGCAAACATTTAATCCGAGGAATTTAACGTTTCGTACCTGGAGATCCATTTATTTGAACATCAAAGAAGCATCTTGGTCGATAGGCATCATAGCCCTTCGCTTTAAGGACAGCCATCTTGAACACTTCCAGCATTTTCGTGTACGCTTACACGAACAAAATTAATACCCGAGAGGAAACATGGGATTTTCTACTTGTTACAGGGTCTGCTGACCAGTTGATGTGCAGATGCAAAAACAAAATGGTAGATCTGAGGTCACGAGAATTTTGCAAATGTTGCACTTATTAGATCCTGGTTAAACTAGCCCGATTACACTTGCTACTCGTTTCATTCACTCTTAACGAATAACATGGCTCACGTTACAGTTGATTGGAATCCACTTGGAAAGGCATTTTATAGGTAAGTAGTTCCTTTTAGATCAGACTGTCTCGAAGTTGTGGCTTCCCTGTATAATTTATTTATTATTTATTATTATTAATCCCAAATATCAACAGGACCAAATCTCATCCATAGAGAGGGGGTTGTGGTTTTTAAATGGAATGACTCCACAAATTAAATGGCTACATGACAACTTCTGCTTCTGCTTTTTTGCTGTTGTTTTTAGCTTTTTCTTTGCAAAAAACATTGAAACAGGGTAGTTATCAGCAGTGACAACTGTCCATGGTTCTATGGTGATGTATGTTGCAGATGACACCTGTGAGATCTTTGGAATAATATTTTTTACATCATATAAAATTCTACGTATTATTGTTTTATTATTCATTCAAAATATTTGTGACCTTCTTTGGGAAAACGTACACTAACGATATTTCGTTATCGTTAGAAAACTAACGGATAGCTAACGGCTTTTCTAACGTTCTAACGGTTTGTCCAAACGTTCTAACGGTTTGTTCTGACGTTCTAACGATTTGTCCAAACGCTCTAACGATTTGTTCTAACGCTCTAACGGTTCGTTCTAACGCTCTAACGATTTGTTCTAACGCTCTAACAGTTGAATTGGTGGAAGTAATCGAGCGCTATTCCCTATTAAGCAATCTATTAACGGCTGGTTAGTTCATCTTGTTGTTATCAATGTATTGAGCGAAAGTTTTAAGTACAGCTGTCGATCGATAAACGGCTGAAAATTGAAAGCATCAAAATCACTAGTGATGTGATCAACGAGTAAAATAATAATCGAAATCGACTTGCTCTCGAAACGACTGCGCTTCAAAACAGGCCGTCCAATTTCTCCTGGAATGAAACTTCTACTGCATCGTATTGACAAGAACTACTGTTTGCAAACACGTATCTTGACTTGGGACTGTAATGTTTCCAAAAACTACCCGTATATCAAGCAAGCCCCTCGATGTCTGATGAAAGTTTTTCAACAAGATGCCGTATCGGTTTCGTAAACAACTTTATGCAAATTTCGGTTGAAATTTGACTCCCGGGAATTTGAATACGCAGTGAAGCGTTGTGTGACGGACAACACATGAATAAAAGCTGTATTGAATGATTGTAGACTTTTTTAATTACTAGAGAGCCTCAGTTATTTAGGACTACAAATCAAATGGAAAAAAAATTAAAATCCCAAAACGGAACAATCTGATCAATAGTTGTAGATGCAAGAAAAATTTGCATATATCATGTGTAATTTCAATTAACCAACAATGGATCTTGCTTGCTTGCATCTTTTCATTTAAAAATACACACAACAGCAACGTTTCTAAAGGCAAAAGGACGGGAAGAAGGTCATGACTTTTATACCGAAGGTTTTCCTGCAACCATTCAATTCATTCGAGATCAATTAGCGGAAGTCTGCAGAGAAGCGGATTTCAAGACGTGTGCTTGTTTGTTTACTTCTTATCGTCGGTATCTTTTGCCTACAGCCGACGACCAAGCATTTTGATATTAATTAATTTTTTCGTTTCAAAAGCGTAGAACGGGTAGGGAATTGTGTCGTTCGTTCACTGGACGTTGGGAAACGGGTTTGGCAAGAATCACTAGTTTCAGGTGCCCGATGCGGGCTCCTTGTTTATAATTTCGGTCGCCCGCGGGCGAATAAAATTAATCGTAGAAACCTCTGACGACAGGCCGCCCATAAGGCAGCGGCCTTGATCAGCAAAGCAATAGAATCGTCAGTTAACGCTTTAGTTTCCTGGACTAACGCTCTAACGGATACAACTAACGCTCTAACGGATATACATGAGTTGCTAACGAATTGACTAACACCTCTAACGGATACAACTAACGCTCTAACGGCTACGGATGAGTTGCTAACAAATTGCCTAACGCCTCTAACGATTTTCATTGAATCATCTAACGGATGACTAACGGACAGCTAATGGTCTAACCGTTTAACGAAATATCGTTAGTGTACGTTTTCCCAAAGAAGGTCACATTTCCTCGAAGCTGAAGACATCCTTACCTATATATAAAACTCCAGTAGTCAAACATCTACCTGTTTTTAACCAGTTCCAGATTATGAGGGCATATAATATTCTTGCTGATATTTTTCAAATGGTAGTTTTCAGTGTCTTTGTGTGTTATTTCAAAGTTTTTGAGGGAGAAGTTCAGGAATTTTAATGAGGTTAAATAGAGAATACTTCATGGAAAGTGCTGGGGTACGGTATTTACGCAAGAGTTGTTGACGTATCAGAAATCGAATGAGTGAGCGCAGCGAACAAGTAAGATTTCTGATACAAAAACAGCGAGTGCGTAAATATTGTACAAAGCACTTTCCATGTGGTATTGTGTTTATTATATACGTACTGAGATATTCATCATTTTGGCAGCCTTTTTGTTTTAAATCTTTCAAAAATGCTAAAATTTGCCGCTACACACTTACCGCGAAATGACAACGAAAATGAAGTATCAGCTTTTCAGTAAAAACGTTTGTTAAAAACAATATAAATGACGGTAAGGATATGAGGTAATCTAAGAACTATAAGTAATCTTAACTGTTTGTTCTCAATGCAAAATAGAAAATGAGTGAATTTAAGTAAAATGGCCGGTTTCAATATAAGCTTAAGCTTAAATGAAAGGCAAAGTAGCTCCGACAAAAAGCACAGCAAAAGCTTACGTCTCGTTCTGTTTTTCCCTTTCCGCTGTTGTTTCGCCAGCTCTCTACCATTTTCTTCATCAACAGTGAAGCAAACGAAACTATTCCACTCCATTTCCAGAATGTTTTTCACTTTTTTAGCGAAAAAAACTCTTTGAGTAAAACTTTTCTTGTTGAATGTGTGCAAAGCCATGCTGCAAGCTGCAATAAAAGGCGGGAATTCTGGCGCGAAACTCACACACCTCTTTGGCTTCTCATTTTTCTCACACATGAAAAAACATCGTTTGCAATTCTGATTGGACGTATCATTTTTTTCACGTGTGAAAACTATCGTTCGCTACTCTGATTGGCTAGAACTAATTTGCGTACAAAAATTTATGACATAGCTTTTTGGTAAGTATTTCTCAGTATGTATATAATAAATATAGTTACTTAACTTAGTTAACGATGAGGAGCTCCAGTAGCTGCTCAGTAGTTAGCTTGGCATTAGCGTGGCATTGACGTGGCGTTGGTGTGGTGTTGACATTTGTTAAGGTTTTATTGGTGTGCTTTGGTGAGCTGGCAGTTATCCTAGGCTCTTTTGTTTTTACCGGGGTTCATATTTCTGTACAAGGTCTATTGCAGGGCAATTTCCAGTACCCCTAGGTCAGTGGTGTGTAATTTATGCATCTGAGTTTGCATGTACTAGTAGTTTTACAGTGCATAGTGTTCAGGGTGTTTTGCTCAGTGTTACCCAGTTTTAGTGTTTTTCCCCTTTCTCCACACCTCTTATTATTATTTTTATTATTATTATTATTATTATTATTATTATTTATTAGTATTAGTGTGGTCCTTATTTCTTCACTGAACTCTCAGTTCAGTGTGATGGGTACTTTGGCTGGGGCTGGGTGTGGCTGGCAAGGCTCGTGGCTGGGTTATAGGTAGGGCAGGCTTGTTGGGTGTTCTTGCTACCTGGGGTAGGGGTTGGCGGCTCCATTTCCTAGGTTCTACCCATGACATAAGAAATCTTCCACCATTATTTTACTCTTGGTCTTCAACACCAAAACAGCCAAACCATCACTCTGCTTCTTTGCTTGATTTCTGTGCATCCTTTTCCAGTTTGGAGGTGTGTCTAACAGAACGTTTAACACCTTGAACTCCAGATCTGGAGGATCAGGGTTCAATCCTCGCCTGTTGAATTGATTCCTTAGACATGGAACTTTACTCCACTTTGTCTCTCTTCACCCAGGTGTATTAATTGATACTGGCAACATACACTGCCAGGATGTGATGAACTAGCATCCCATTAAGGGGGGAGTAGCATGCTTCATGCTAAGGAAACCGAGAGAAGCTGTAGCCATTTTCGACCTTTGGGTTGTGCGTAATCTTCTTTACATGGTCTGAGACTTTACTATTGACATCAGCCTTTAAATCAAAGCAAACATCTTTCAATTTTGGAGAATAACCAGCTGGCTCAGAAAAGAAATTAAATACCAGGGAATCCATGAAATTAAAGCCAATCAATCAGGGATGGAGAAATATTTTAAATGTACACACTTTAGCCATAACTGAATTACAGCAGAAGTTTCCTTCACAAAATGTGTTTGTGAATTGTCTTGAACAGGAAAGTAGAGCTGTACAGTATGGAGTGGCAAGATGCTGTGGATCTATCCAGCTTTATTGTGAGTGCAGCACCTTTCGGTGGTCCAATAGGTAAGTACATCAGACTTCTTCTAAGTTTTGTTTAACCAACAAGGTGGTCAGGTTTCATTTCCCTGCATTATCTTGTGGTAAATGGAGCTCCCCAGGGTGAAAGTTTGAGAGCACTGCTAATGAATTAAAATTGTTTGAGCCAGATGAACCACAGAAATGCTCTTTACAGCACTGCAAGTACTGGTATTTGTAAATTACAGGGCTTCTGATATTTCACACGGTTGTGGAGCCGTGAAATTCAGGTAAATCTGCGAAATTCACAAAAACACGAAAAATACCGTGAAATTCAGTAGAAATCTTATCAAATACATGTCTGTATAAATATTTGAAACTTATTTCAGCTACAGGGGCTATTTACTTGCCATAAACTTGCAAATTTATCTTGGAACTTCGTCACTGAAACGTGCAAACAACGTCCCGAAACCACCAGGCGTAGATTATGTTGCGAAAAACTGGGCACTAGCCATGATGTTAAAGGTTTTGCCATTGGGTCATTTCTGGAGCATATTGTTGTTGAAAGAGCAAATGATGACCTCTGTTGGAAAACGTTAAAAATGCGGGTCTGATCAGCGCAAAACCGATCGATTTCTAGCAAAATTTGCCTTGAAAATAACCACAAAATCGGCTGTTGTTACCGATTGCTTTTTGGTGAAGTTTGCCCTGAAAACTGCCGTGAAATAGGCTGATTTTTGCCTCAAATTTGTCGCTAAAAATCCCGTGAAATTTGACTTTTTCCTCCGCAACCTATCAGAAGCCCTGAATTTATGTCTATAGCAGGAAGAGACCATTATACTGTAACAGAATTTTGTTTCAGTCAACTGTCTGTACAAGTCAAGGGATTTGGCTGAAAATAGTTTAAAGGAAGAAAACAACTATGAAGAACATCCTGCTTCTAATTACTTTAGAACAGCTAGTGCATAAAACATGCAATTATTGATACAATATTAAAAAATTTCATTACTTTCAACCTGCAGTCCAGCTGTCTTGCATGTAGGTGATTAACTGTCAGGAATAGTTTAAAAAAATAATAATTGAATTGGGCTCCATTGCTAAATTGCACCCTGCCCTTTTTTTTGGTGGTGTGGGGGGATGATTAGTATTTTAAACCAGATTTTATAATTGCTGACATTGCATACTCATAATTGCTAACTCATGTACACTTTTACATATGTGGTGTGGGGGGGTGAGGATGGTAGACCTGAATATTTACATGTCCTGCTCCTGCAGCCCCCTCATTTCCTTTTTGGATGGAAGGTTTTCATTAATTTTGTTGTTTTTGAAATTTTCAGCCCTGATAAGAGATGACAAGCATTTTACTCGAGTCCAAGGATCAGCTATTAATAAACCCATCATTCACATTTTTTCCTCTGCTGGAAGGGAACTTGCCACAGTTAAGGTATATAATATGTCTTTCTTTTAATGTCTACTACTGTTTGTTGTTTAACCTGCAAACACCAACAAAGAGGAGTGTCAACCAGGCCGAGCAGGTTACTTGTTGTTTAATATTGACAAACTTTGTCAATATTGCTCTTGGCTAAAAGACTAACTGCCATCATTTTCTGTTATTGCATCGGAAAAGGGCAGAAACTTGTAATATTATCATATGGCTGGTCATGTGAGGAGGAAGATGAAGTAATGTTCTGATTGGTTACTGAAGCAGGCAAAATGGATCTCTCTTAGTCCATCACTGACACAATAGTCTGCTTCACAGCCATTTTTAATGTTGTCACACAATGCTCCTACCTACCTCCCTTTGAGTGACAACACTAAAACTGGCTGTGAAACAGACTAGTCCTTCACTGCATGGGAAAAGGAACAAAAACAAAAATGTTCTGCTTCTGTAGGCTATTGATCAAGTGATCTTTTTTATTCTTAGTGGGATGGAGGCCCCATAGTTCAGATGGGATGGTCCGTCACAGAGGACCTACTTTGCGTGGCTGATGATGGTACTGTGATGGTGTATGACAGTCATGGCACAATCAAGAAAACCTTGTCAATGGGACAGGTCAGTGTTAAATCATTTTGTACAAGATTGAAGAATTTTGTACAAAAATGAGAAGACTGAAGAAGAATTAAGACATGCTACATGTATGTTTGTAAAGCACCACAGCTTGACCACTTCCGGTCAACTTGAAGCTCATCTTAGCCAATTGATGCCATATCTTATGTCAGTAAATTCTTTAACCACCTCAAGTAAATATAATTATTTTCTGACAAACTTTTTAATAATCTTAAATTTTTCCATGACCATGAGCAAAATACATGTATTAAAATTTTAATTCAAAAAAATAAAGAGGTTGTAGAAAAATAGAATAGCCATAGTTGATTCTTCATCTCCTTAGTCTCCTAGTCCTAATTTTTCATGAATTAGGGCTATGAGACAAAGGAAATTGAGAATCAACCTTGGTTAAAAAATTTTAATCTGAGTATGATTTTGACCTGTAACATATTTATGTCGTTTTTGCATGTGGCCTTCTCAAATACAAAGCAACTTCATAGAATCATTTATTGTCTGATCTGGTGCTTGTGTTTAGTTGGGTATAGGAGACTAAACTGGTAATTTTTATCTTCATTTTTTTGTAGGATGCCAAGGAATCCAAAGTTCTTGACTGCAAAACCTATTATTTTGCTGGAAGGACTGGCATAGCTATCCTGACTAGTAATTACCACTTTTATGTCGCAAACAACGTGGAAGAGGTCAGGAATCGACGGTACTATGACCCACCAGGTAAAAAAAAATCATAAAGTTCAGTGTTTCAGAGAGATTAATAATTGTGAAGTAAATAAATAAGTGTCACATGTTAGACTCACATGCTTTTGTGATCTATAGAACTCAATATCTGCTTGTGTTTTACTTTCCTTTTCGTGGTGATATGTTTGAACTGGATGGGGGTTTTTAACTTTAAAAAATGTTGTTCAACAGGCAATAAAGAAATCTTGTCACGTATCACTCCTTGTAGCATTTGACTGACTTCAAGTTGGTTTGAGTCCTTATTATTTTTATTTTTTGCGGCGTGAATTTTATTCAGACTTTCTTCTCTTACATATTTGCAATAATCTATCTTGGGTTAAATGTGTATTTTGCCACATTTTTCTCAAGGAAAACAATAATTGCTCTCGATCCCAACTCGTTAAAATTCTTTCACCTAACTACCTGAGGGCTGTCCTTATCTGAGAAAACTAGAAAGTCAAATCGTTTGCAGATGTCTTTACAAAGGCAGCACTTTCTACTCAGTTATTTAAAGACCCTAATAGAGTGTTGGTCCGGCCTGCGGTGTGTTGAACCAGCGGCCTCCCGCTCAGCAGACAGGCGTTTATCCAACTGAGCTAACCGGACGGCAAAAAATGACCATTCATGAATCTTAAGAAACATAGGGCCAGTTATTTAAACGTAGTTTAGCCAGTTTTTATCAAAACCTCGTTCAGAGCCATTTTTCAATTTGCCCAACGGTTTTATCTAAACACTGTTTATTGTGAAGTGTTTTATGAAAGCATATAGAAAAGACTAGAAAAGCATTTATCTTCTTAAAATAACGCATTAAGGAAGAGATCTGGAGGTCCGAAGATTCGTTAAACCCCGGCTTAAATTCAACTTCTTTTAGATAACCGAACCATAATGTTTTTTAACCAGGTTTGGATGCTCCACCCAGCAGCTGGGTCATTATGCCGCATGACAGAGGTTCATCGTTGCTATTGGCAATTGATAATCTGTTATACCTTACAGAAAAGGGACAGTGTAATAGATAGCCTGCGTAGCTGGCGGTATTGTGTGGGTGCGAGATTAAAGTTTTCTCACTCGAATATATTACCAACGGCTCCGCCGCCAAATCTCACTCGACTACTACACAATACCGCCAGCTACGCAGGCTATGTAATAGACTGGTAAGCTGTAGTATACAGTAGAACTGTTATCGTGACACAACCAATTATAATCCAGTCCTTTCAACATGTCTCCAAGCTTGAGACATGCTGTTTTGTAAAGTTCCGATCTTTAAAACGTCTGCCTTTTCGTCGGCAGTTTTAGGATTTGAAGAAACGTGTATCCAGCAGATATTCGCACACCGACTGCAACTCAGCAACGGTGGCGAAAACGTCTCTTAAAAAGAGAATTCGCGTTGTTTGAAAGTTCATGGCGATGAATCCAACTCGCATAATTTGTCAAATGCAGGCGAGTCCTGGACTTGTCGAGGAGTTGAATTCTTAGGGACTGTTTACATGGAGATGGGGGACCCAAGATAGGTGAGGTAACATGCGGTAGGTCATCCCACCTATCATGTAAACGTGATCAAATTGAAGTGAGAGATTACAGTCATGGACAGGCAGGTTACCCCACCTAAGCGGAAAAGAAAAAATTGATAATCGTGTTCACGTTTTCCATAAAACGTGAAATTATTTCGCTGTTCACATGGAACTTTGAACGGCTATGCGTCTGAATTTTCTTACGGTTAAGGTGATGTTATACGAGACGATACGCCGCAACACAGCGTTGCAATGTTGGAACAATGTTGCAACCATTCGAAACAATATCGCAACAATGTTGCAACGCCGTGTTACAGCTGGCGCTAAAAATCTTTGTTGCAAATCGTCTCGTGTAACATCACATTTAAGGCTGTTTCGAGTGAACGTTTGAATTTTCAGCCGGTCGAAAATTCGCCCGGTTGCCTTTTTGACTTTCTCTTTGCTGTCGCTGTCTCGACATCATAAATTTCCTCTTGATTGCCAAGTGCAAGACAGTTTGCTACTTTTTACCAATCCTGAATCAGCCACAGGGCGTAGCAAAGCAGTGGGTGCGGGGAGAAGGAAGGAACGGAGGGGAGAAAATAGAGAAGTGTGTAGAGATGTCGCAATGAGAATATTGTACATCTCTGGCTTTATCAGTGTCACAACTTGAAATATGAAATAGGGAAGTCTCGATCGTTTATAATGTTGACAAATTCTTCCCCGAACTCACATAAGTGAGTATGCTCGCCGGCTACTGTTGTTGTTGAATAGTTTTGATATTATTCAATTTTTAGACTGTTTCATTCAGCGCTGGGGTCCCGGTCACTTCCATCATAGAAATGGCCATATCTTACAATTATGAATACCTAGCAATGTTTACAGACACTGGTTTGTTATGGATAGGATCAGCAGATTTACAGGTGGGTATAACACTGTCACACTGTTCAGCCCGCAAATTCAGCTATCAGAGGACGAGTTCAAGCAGTTAGCGCCGAGTTGACTCGGATTCTTAGAAAATGAGAACGAGTGGCGGTCTAATTCAACTGGTAGTACTAGCTTTGATTCTATATCAAGGTTTGAAGAAAGCATGTAAAAAGGATTTGTTTATACTACTTGAATTTGAGGTATCTTTTCTTGTGACAAATGAAGACCCGTAAAATTAAAATTTTTCTATCCGCCTTATTTCTTGCATGGTGGGATATCATCATTAATTTAGTTTCGCCACTTCTTCCTCGGAAACCTTGCAAAAAAAATTTCATGTCATCGCAAAGTTGCTTTTTATCGCGTTCACTTAATTTACCGACATCTCCGCAAAGCGAGGAAGCTTACTTAGCAACCAGGGCCGCTAGGCCAGGCCCTGAAGAGCTCAACTTACGTACGCCTGTATTTCGCAGTTCTTTGAATTTTGCAGTTATTGTTGTATTTCTGTCTTCTTTAGAAAATCTACTGTGAGTTCAACACTTCTTGTCCATCAAGACCCAAGCAACTAACCTGGTAAGGAGGGAGCAATTGTTCTTTCTAGAATGAAGGCTCTCGTCTTTTATGGCGAATTCTCGCGCGGTTGGCCGGGCCATTCTTTTGAATTCAAACTGAGAGCCATCGGTGTTTTTCTTTCTTCCGCCACCCATCAAGCGATGTGTCGCCGACACGTGTTGCTGCAACTAATCTCCTGACCTGTACACAGGGAGTAATCTGTCGCCGCAACGTGTTGCTGCAACTTGTCTCCTTGTGTGTTCCGATCTTTACTTATTTCAACATACCTTACAGGTGTGCAATGGGCGCTGTCATATGTTACTGGGACGATTTTTGGATGTTGTTGGACCGACAATGGACACTATTAGATATCCTTTGATCAACAAGATCATTCTTTATCATGATCCGACTAGCTTTCCAACTATTTGCAGGGCAAGCTATCTAACTGCTAGAGCATGCTAGAATTAAATATTCTTCTTCTTGTTTTTGTAAGTGTTGGCTTGGCCAAGTTGGTAATTGTGCTGTCATGCTGCAATTATATATTGATCGTGTTACTAAAAACACCCTTGATTTGAACTGACAATTGTTACTAGTGTAGATACGAGTAGTTTTTTTTATTGAGCACGCTATTGACATATATTTAACAATTATTGCACGAGTGCGCGTTAGATATGAGTGGAATAATTAGTTATTAAAAACGCCCACAAAATATCGAGAATTCTTCCCGTTTTTATTTGTAAGAACAACCGATTTTCAAATTTTGGTATGTGGCTCATATTCCATGATGGCTAAGCCAATCAGAGCTCTTTAATTGCATTATCCCATGATTCAGTTTTTAATCAATATGCATATGCTACCGATAGCGCCTGACTTCTTAACATATTTCACATATCAGATGGACAGTGCTGTTCATTTAGTTCAAGAGTTAGATGGCGTAAGAATCATTGGTAACGAGACTCATGAACTGCTTCAGCGAGTTCCAGGTTGGTAAATATGATTACGTTGATTGCGGGCGGTTTCTCCTCCTAGCAAAACCTCCCTAGCAACGAGGAGCAAGGTGAAACGGCTGTATTAACAGACTACAAGTGAGAGGTTTCAAAATGCTCGCAGATATTCTGTCTTGTTCTCGATTCATAAATCTATCGAAATATAGCCAAAAATAACAATCCCTGTTGGTGACCGGGATGTCCTTGAGATTTATTTCTTCTCTACAGACATTTGATGCTTTTCCAAATTACCTTCATTACCTGTAGGTGCTTAAACCGAAATAAACTTTCGAGACTGTTGACTTAACCTTGAGCTCAGTGTGGTCTTGCTGTGGCTCATGTATGATTTTTCAACTTACTCCCCGGAAGCAGATGGGACTGATTCTACATTCAGTATCCCCCACTCCAAAGAAAATGGGTACCCTGTTGTCAGGAATAAGCAGAAAGCCCCTAAACTTTATTCAAGTGACTTGTTCAATCGGTTCACGGTCAAGTCGCCCGAAATCAGGGTCATGTCGCCCGATATCTTGAGTCATGTCGCTCGAAGTAAACAGCGATATTTGCGTCTTTGTTTAACTTCACATTGGCATAGGTTACCGGACACAGTTGAGTCTACATTGTCGAACATTGTTGAACTAAATTCCTTAGGATATCCTTCAGATGTTACTTTTCTTCAAGTCTATACACTCGATAAAATTTTGGGCGACATGACTTAGGATTTCGGGTGACATGACTCTGGTTTCGGGCGATATGACTTTTGGGCGACTTGACCGGTTACCGTTCAACCAGAACCACTTCTTATCACGAATGTGAATAATTATGTCCGATACTAGAGCAACTATTTCGATTCATCTTTCAGCTGCTGTGGAACAAGTGTTTAAAATCGGTTCAATGGAACCAGGTGCGATGCTGTTTGATGCATCAAAGGAATTTGAGGTAAGCAATGCTTCACTCTCTCTGGGAAAAAGTTGTCCCGGGTAAAAGGCTCAGCCGCCTACCCAAGCCAGTGGCGGATCTAGGGGAGGGGTCAGGATCCTGGGGTGGGACCGCACCCCCTAATCTCAGGGGTCTGGATGACCGGGCTCCCCCTTATCTGAAGGTCTGGACCCTCCACTGCGAGCCACCCTGGGCAGCCTGTTGTTGGGTGACCTGTTGTCCTTGGTAAGGTCACCATCCTAGCTGAGCCAACTTTTCTCCATATAATAAAAAATAATCAACTTTATTTATATAGCACTATTTCAGTCCAAAAGCTCAATAGGGCTTTACAGAATTCATAAGAAAGAACAATAATGAATGAAGAAAACCATAGCATGATAATAAAAAGAATACCTGACGAACAACCTTAAAGTTTCAACTTAAAGATTCTAAACTGCACCAAAAACTAAATCCCTAAAAATTAAACTGTCGTTATGATTCTTTCATGTATATTCCTGTAAACAGAAAAAGAGCGCCCGAGCAGAGGAGTACATTCGGATGATCAAAGAACGTCTTCCTGAGGCTGTCCAGCAATGTATCCACGCCGCTGCCGGGGAACATGAGCCTGCAATACAAAGAGGACTGCTGAGGGTGAGTATAGTTTCGGAGGTAGTCATGGTAACCACATGATCCTTATGTTCAGTTGCTATGTTTCGATTCTCACAGCAACCCACCCCCAAGGGGTGGGGGAGTTGTTGACAAGTTTAAGGTTTCTTACACAGTGATTGGTGATTCACTTGGGCATAAATCGTTGAACGTTATGCCGTGAAAAGAAAATCTGTACTCAGTATATCTGGGTAATTTGAATTGGAAGCGAAAGAGCGCAAATAGTTCGTCCATTATGTTTCAATTTGAGGAGTGTAGTAAGAGACATGGGGGACTTCATCAATGCTTTCGACGAACGCGTCATTCAGTGATTTTTCAGTTATACAGGATGAATTGAAAGTATAGCAAATCTCAGCGAGTGGTCAACATTCGCCAATAACACTGCTCTGTTACCATCTACCAAGCGAAGTTTGCAACGTCGCTTGGTCAGAGATTTTAGGCGGAAATAGTTCTCGTGTAACATGTCATGTGTCCTCGTAGTAACCAATAAGAGCGCTCCGGCGGTCGATTTTGGGGAAAATTCCACCTATAGTACAACCTTTTTTTTTTAAGATCTCCGCTGTAATCTTATCTTCTCTTTGCTAGGCTGCTTCCTTTGGTAAGAGTTTTCTAACTGATATGTCGCCACACGCGTTTGTTTCGATGTGCCGGAATCTTAGAGTGTTAAACGCCGTGCGGGACTACATAGTTGGAATTCCACTTACATATGGACAGTATCCTGTATCTTAATTAAAGAGTGAACCAAATTTTCAGTTGTTGCAGAAGCGTCGTCTCACAGGTTACATTTTGCCCAATTGCAGCGTTTGTTGCAGCAAGTCTACACTATGCTAGCCTCCGTAGCAACACGAAAAAAATGTTTATTTTTCGGGTTAATTTGCAATTGCTTAAATTGCAATTTCCGCTGCGACGATAATATCTTCATTTAAACTTGCATTTCCGCAGTTCACATCATCTTCAACTAAGTTATCATTGCTCTGATCCCAACTTTTTCGACGAACTTGCGCGGAAACCTTTTCTACGCAGGCTAACACTATGCCGGATAGCTCTTACGTCGGCACGGAAACCATACCGAAGAGTGTTTCTGTCCACACCAGAGAACGGTGATTTCGGTGCGATTTATGTGACGGAGCAGTGCTGCGGGTTTTAAATTACATTTTTTACAGGGAACGAACGAGATATGTTCCTTTTTCTCTTTTTTGAAACGGATATGTTAAAAGTATTCTAACACAGTTTTCAATTTTGTGGCTCTTATCAAGTTCTTAAAGTGGGCTCCATTTTGCTTTTTTGTCCTCTGAGAGTACTCTTTGATTGTTTTTCAAAAATTATCCAATTTTGATGCCTTGACGATCGTCTTAGACTGGAAAAACTTACAATGAAAACCCTTATCGACAGGTGAGTTTTGTTTTTGTCACCCTGCTGTTTGTTGTCTTTTTAAAGAAGGTAAAACGTGCAATGCTTATGCATTTTTTTGAGGGGGAGGGGGAAGGGTGGCGGTGTGATTTAAGCAATCTGATTGGTTCGCTATCTCGGACTATTTAACAATATTCATCTCCTAGCGAGTGGATAATGTGTGAGCTCGTTGTTTTTCCCATTCTCTTAGAGAAAGATCTTTTAAAAGTCGACAAAATCCTAGGATTGACTTTTAAGACTTCGAAGGATTCAAAACGGCGTTTTTCCATTTACTGTTGTTGAGTTTTGTGGTCGATGGATTGTTTACAACTCCCGTTTATTCGCCTAGAAGAGGCTGTTTTCTGAACTCAGCGTTTCCTAACAAGAAGAATTTGGCCCAACAACGAATTTTATTTATGAAAAACAAATTTGAAAACAAATGGTTGCAGAAATTCTACGTTTCAAGTAAACACGAGAAAGAATGCTACATGAAAAGTGAATAGTGGCTTTAGGAATATTTACCGAGCCACGAATATTTTGCCACTATTCACCTCGATTTCAAAGAATAATTGTTAATTGCTACGTAGCTGGAATTTTTTTCATAACAGTGCGCTCTCTCATTGGTTTCTTCGAGGTCACATGACATCTCACAATGAAACTGTTTCCCGCCAAAATCTGTGAGCGGACATTGCAAAATCTATGACGTCATAAGGGAACAGTGCATTGTTACCCCACGAATGTTGACCGAAGACTACTGTCACAGCGTGGTTTAATGAATTTTCCAGTTATATAGCCTCGGGAAACATTGAGATTCTCGGAAAACAAATTTAACTGTTTCCCTCGAGACCAGTCATTAAGTGTTTAAGTGTTTATTGTAATGTGAAACGTTCAATAAGTTCCGAGCTTCAGGTGAGAATCAAACTTACGACCTTCCGAGTTCAAGATCGGACGTTCTACCCACTAAGCTGCTGGGGGTCTAAAGTGAGCAGGGTCGAAATTTTTATTGATTATACACCAGACCTGCTATAGTACATAGTACGAAATAGTACTTTTAAGAAAAAAATAACAAAATGAATATGATGTATGTCCGATAATCTTTGTCTTTTGCCCCACTAAAATGGTGACGTGGTTGGACATAAATCATTTCTAAATATCAAAATCATTTGCGTTCCTACTGAATATAAAACAATCTGAAGCAAAGTTGTTGTTTTTTTACTTGCTTACTTTTCGTGTCTAAATATAGATTTAGTCAGATCCGCCGTCAGATCTGGAGAGAGAATTCTTTGCCTTAAGTTTATTTTATTACCGTTTATTTTCTGCTCCTGTAGGCTTGTTTTGAGGCGTCACTACTGTCTGGCCATAAGAATCTGTGATTACTGGAAGATTCCTAAGGGGGAGGGTGCCAGTCGCATCCTTGGACACTGGGCTTGTTATAAAGTGAGTGTAACCAGCGGATACCGGTTGGCTGTTACCTATATGTAAGCAGGGGTCTTCCCGTAATCAGCTTATGGCTGGTAATTTGATAATTTGGTAATGGTAAATTATAGTTGTGGCAGTAGACGTGACTGGAGTTGGGTGTCCGGTGGTTGTTTCATGTGCTGAATTTGGCTCATTTCTCTTCGTGTTTGTGTATTTATCAAAGATCACAAAATCAACCTATGAAAAGATCTAGATCAATTAGACTGGATTGTACGCGGTGAAGACGGCGTGGCCAGGCGCCCATCAAGTTCAGATACCCGGTCATGCTTGTAAATAGCTAACTGGTTGCCTCCTGCCAGCTGGGGTTTTTAATCCTGTTGTGTTCTATTTCCTCAATAAATAAACAGTTGGACTTTCACATGGCCGGGATGATCACATTGAAATTAACTTCTCCGCCCTAGTAGAATACAATAGTGTCCGTAAATAGTTTTTCTTGTGTTGAATATCTTGACATCTCTTTCGATCCTACACCTCTTCAAAACTTGCTTTTCTTGTTTAAACAGGTTCAGCAAGCCAATGTTGATGACGAAGAGATTGCTCGTGCCATCAACTCCAAGCTCGGAGAGACTCCTGGGATATCGTACTCAGAAATAGCTTCAAAGGCAGTGGACTGTGGACGAACTCACCTGGCCATCAAGGTTAGTTGAGAACATTCACATGAACAGTATAATTATAGACTATACGTTCCCAGTTCAATTTGGGACATAAACTGGTGTCTTCCGTTAGTATTTCCTTGCTAAATGCACGAGGTTCAAAATAACGTGGGTTAGTATAGAATGGGTTTTTTACCTGCAGGATTGCGTTTACTGTGGGTAATCAAGAATTTTTTTCCGTACCTGGAGTATTAAGACCTCGCTTGCTTTCAGCGCTCCACTTTATCAGCCAGCTTAAGCAAAGACGACGACAACGGCAGTGAAAACGTCACTAAGAAAATGAACTTCCGTCCTTTCAATCTTTATCGCGTCTATTTGGAACCGCTTAATTCGTTAAATGTAGGCGACTTTTCCTGGAGTTAAATTCCTATTGTCTTTATCCATGTTCAAATAGAGAACGGAAAATTTGTTTTCGTATGTCCACGTCCTCCATAAAACGTCGCATTGGGAGGTTTCACGTCGTAGTCGTGCAGTGGACGTCAAAGAAATGTACCAAAAAGCGGGATTCACGTGCAGAGCAGTCGTTTTGCTCATAAAACCAATTGTTGTTTGACGTTGTTGTTGTTGTTGCAAAACAACGGGCGCTTTCCATTCAACCAAAACGTTCGAAAATTGGAAACAGCGGCAAATGGTACAGAAATGTCCAGGAAAAGTTTCCAGAAATTCCGAAAGATGTTGAATTTCCGAAATGTGAACCATGCATTCAATCGAAAATTCTAGAAATTCCCGGAAGCAAAGTTCAATGCAAAAAAAAATTTCTGAAAATTTTTTTTTAAAATTTGGGCACCCGTCGAGAAACAAAACTTACGGCTGCAAAGAAGAGCAATGGGGGAAAGAAACATCGGGGGTTTTAACAACTGACGTTTTTAATTCAATATAAAAAAACATGTTGAAGTTTTATGCTCTAGCCCTTCGTCAGACTGACCGAAGGGTTAGCACTCGAAATGTCCCTACTATGCCAAATTTCCTATGTCAACTTAATTGATTAATATAAATTCTTAGCTTTCACCGTGGTTCGCTCGAGGGGTTACCAACATGCTCGTTTCATGTGACGTCAACAACACCTGGAACAGACCGGATCAGATCAACCCCTGTAACTGACTGAATAACGAAAGGTAAGGGATAGTGCCTCTGAGAATGATCTGATCCGGTTCTGCGGTCCAGGTTTTGCCTACGGCCTTTCTCGTGGCTTCGCCGCCTGTGCCTCCACGAGGAGACCTGCTTACAGCCTGGCTTAAAGCCAGCCTTGACCTCTAGCTGGAGTAATCTCACCATAAGTAAGTTCGTCGTTTGAGAATCTGTAAACGAGCCTATCATAGCCAATTCATGATTCATAATGTATCTTTCAAGATGCTCACATCTTCTTGTTTTTTTGTTTTTTTTTTTACCTGTAGCTTTTGGACTATGAGGCGGAAGCCGCTGACCAAGTTCCACTGCTCATGCGGATGAATAAAGATGACCTAGCGCTCGAGAAGGCCATTATGAGTGGAGACACGGATCTGGGTGAGTTGTGAGTGGGTACCACTGCGGTTAGTTACAGCAGTTTGGTGATCTTTTTAGTCCGTTTTGTTTCGTCGTTGTCGCTCAAAAGCCGACTTATAGGAAGGTCTATCGTAATGTTGAAATTGTACCAAAGGTTCAAAAAAATTAGAATCAACTTTTTCTCAGCCTAAAAGTTGGCGTTACACTAGCGGTATTACAAGCACGGGCAGAGTTGCAAACCGTAAAACATTTTTGAACTTGTTTTGTAGCTTATTATTCTGATCTTTTCTTGCCGTTGACACAATTTCAAGTATATCTCAACCATCTTGATCCTTAGATGCTCTCCTCCAATGGTAACAGCTTTCTCTGGTCAGGTGATCAAAATTGATGGATCCGAACCGCCGTCATCCAAAACCCGCCTACTTGATTTTCCCCTGTATCTAGATGACATTTCATTTGTGTTGTCTTTTTTTCTCTTTCTAGTGTATATGGTTGTTATACATTTGAAGGATAATCTAATTCCTGGCGAGTTCTTGATGGCCATACGTTACCGTCCTGTGGCACTCAGCCTCCACATCAAGGTGAGTCTATGAGAAAAGAGTTGTGTAAATGAGTGTGTATTTGTTCAAGGCTCCAACCAAGAGAAAACTTGCCGTAAGGTCCTTCAACGTAACGCTAATATTGTATTTGCTAGGAAACGTTTTTCCTTTTATGCGTTCACTCTTTAAGATCACAAAAATGACGTCAAAATGTTGGAGGAGTGAGTGGTTTTACGGTATCGTTTGTACCATCTAATGTCAATTCTTTGAAATGTCGGAGCCTCGGCAGTGACAAATGGCTACTTGTCTAGTTATTTGTTGTTGTTTTTCTACAATGTCTTGGAGAATCGCGCTCAACAGACAGAGACGAGAAGGATCTTTCGTTTCTATTCTCTGTACTGTCATGAGCAAAACCTGTCGACCAATCGGGGCGCAGAAAACACTCGGTTATTGTAAATCATTAAACTGTGTGGCAGGCGTCTTAAGAGGTATTGAAAAAAGTGAAAGTGGGAAAGGGAAGCCTGCTCTAGGACCACCTTTTTCATTTCTACTACCTTTTCCCTTCACTCTCTTTTTCTCTCCCTCCCCCTTCCCTTGTTTTGTACCTGCCACGCAGGCTATTGTGAAACCTATATATTTACTTTGGCATGACTGTGATTTGTCTGCAGTACTGTAAGGATCAGGATCGCAGTACACTTGTGGACCTGTTCTACCAAGATGACCAGTTTATGAACAGTGGTAATGCCTTTGTGCAGGACAGCTATAGCGAGAAGGTATCATATAAAGTAGCTTGAAATGCTATCATGCTTAGGAGGGGATCTGGTCGCAAGTTGTTTTATTATTTTATTTCTTTATTGGCTTAATATGTAATTTCAATTCTGAGCAAAGGTGCGCACGCTTCACTCCGTTTCTTCATGGCGTCATAGAATATTTTTGTTGTGACTTTATCAGACTACCAAGTTCCGCTTTTACCTCATTTCCGCATGGCGTTTTCCGGTTAGAAAATGGGATAAACTTACTCCTCTTAAGGTCAGCAGCACTCTTGTTTATTTTGAACGTCATTGAGAGCCGAGAATACGTGTAGCAACTCTTATTTTCAATTTAACTCGTTTATCTCTTGTGCTTAAACTGGAAACCTTTACCAAAATTCGTTTTAATCATAACCAGTGATATCTACTACACGTGCGCTTATTGTTGCCAGCCCTCAATTCGGCGACCACGTGACCAGAGAAACGACAAGAATAGGAGTCGACTTAAGTCAACAAGGTATCTGATATTTTCACAGAGCGAACAAAGCGCGCACGCCTGAAAATCGCAACTTGCAAGGAAGACCGTCACACAAAGGGTGAGTTGCGTGACGCCTTCAGGTCTCTCTTGCAATCTGGTCCTCAGAGCTTTTCTTAGCCTTGTCTGGCAGAACAGTCACTTTTAGTGCTAAACCAGCAGGATCAAAGCCTTGGGAAGGTCATGTTGCAGCTGCTCAGAAGAAAAGTCACCAGTGGTGCCTAACCCTGACCCCAAACAATACTGAAACAATTGAAAGAATGACATGTCATTGTTTTCTGCGGCCAATCAGGAGAGACCTTCCAAGCAGCTCCTACACAACTACCTTGGGAAGGATATTGGCGCTGATGCTTTTATTCCTTGAGAAATGAGAGACAATTCGTTATCACCCGTCATAGAATAGAATCATCGTTTTCGTATCACTTGTCATTACATTTGACATAAAACCTGATTTCTCATGATTTTCTTCTATTTTTATTGTTTAGGCAATAAAATCCAAGATAATAACATTGTCTAAAGCACAGATGTCTTACCAGCAAGGAGGATTTCAGTTCTACTCAAAGATGTGTGCTCTTGACTTTGTTTCTTTGATTTAAAATACTCCAAACTCCACCAACGCTAGGGTCACCCATTTCTTACTACAGTTAAACCTCTATTAAGCGGACCCCCAATTACGCGGACACCCTTTATTAAGCGGACTATAAGCCGGGTCCCGAAATTAACGTCTTATATTAGCCTTTATGACGAATCCCAATTCAGCGGACACCTCTATTAAGCGGACGAGGACACTAAAATAAATTGTATTTGGCTAATTTCTATTGTTAAAAACCTCTATTAAACGGACACAAATGAAACTCATGGTATAATATCAAGTCAAACTAGAAGAGAAGTACAGAAGGACATTTATGGACCTGTCTTTCACTGATACTATCTACCAGGTGTGATAAAGACACTAAACTGTCTTAGCCTTTACCGTGGATTTTCAAACGTTCCCGATCTGAGCTTATTTTTAAGGTGTAATGATCAGTACAGTTGGGCAGCTGCATCAATTGAGCTTTCTAGGTAACTGACCACTCCCCCCTCCCTCCCCCGTTAAGTCAACAGTAACACTTTTTCCTTACTTAGGGCAAAATTGTAACTTAGCTCTGAAAAGTAGCTCTTATTTGAATGATCAAAATTAATATGTCATCAATGTAGTCAAATGTTAATACTACCTTTAACAGCTTAATAAACAGTGCTGCTGGAAATCTTTGTCAAGTACAAGCTTTCATTCGAATGGCCATACTAAAAGATGGTCAAATGTTAGAAGTTGAAATCAACAGTATACGCTGGAATCTCTCAGATCTCTGATCAGCAGCTTTTGTTGGGATTGTTATTGTTAAACTATTATCTTAACTTAGTCGTTAAAACCAAAGCAAAGTAAACCGCTGTGGAAAATACTATTAAAAGTAGTTTTAGCGTTAGTTTCTTCATTGTCACAGATTTAATTGCCATACAATGGGGTGTGGGCTCCTGGTTTCTAAGGATTACTTTGCACTTTTCGGTGCATACTTCAAGGAGACCTGAAAGCCGCTGAGCAACTGAAAAAGGAGTTCAAGATTCCGGATAAAAGGTTTGTAACATTTTTTTATCAGAGACTGTAAACAACGAGACCTTTCTCATCTGAGGGCCCTTTTTTGAAACAACCTTTAGCTACACCACGTTGAACAAAGGCTTACTTGTTCACACCACTGATTTGTAGCCTGTGTAGAATACATTTGAATGGGAAGGGAAATGTGGGAATTAGGACGCGCTAGGGAGGGGGAAATTTAAACGCAGTCGTTTAGGAAAACATTGGACTTCCAGATCCTTTTCTTAGACTTAAGGGGTTAATTGAAGAAAATAATTGCCTTTCCAGTCTACACTATATACTTTCTTGAGATTTTTCACGAAAAATGGTGTTTAGATAAAAACGTTTAGCAAACTGAAAATGGCCAAGAACGCGGTTTTGTTAAACACGGGTTAAACTCCGTTTAAACAACTGGCCCAAATGGTCTCTCTACTTTCATCCTCGTGCGCCCATCGCGTTCTCGTTCTCACACGGGCTGTTTTCAAAATAGCCTGTACTATGTAGAGCTAAGGCTTGTTTGGTCACACCCTGATTTGTAGTCTATGTGGCAAGCATTGGAAGTCGAGTGATAGAGGGGCAGGGGGTAAGGGCGCGCGAGGAGGGAGAAAAGAAAGGGTTTCCGTCCTTTCCTCCTCGCGCATTCATCGCGTTCTCGTTTTCACACGGCCCGTTTTCGAAATAGCGTGTAGTTGCACCACGTACAGCTTATGTTTGCTAGTTAAAACCCCTGATTTGTAGCCTGTGTGGCAGGCATTTGAAGGAGTAGTGAAAGGAGGGGAGGGAATCCGAACGCGCGAGGAAAAATAGCAGGCAGGAATTCCTTCCCTTCCTCCTCGCGCGGACATCGCGTTCACGCGCACCTCAGTTATTCCTCCTTTTCCTACCCCTTCAAACTCCTTCCTCATAGTTTAGCTCATTTGCCGCATTGTCTTGTCTTTAGGCTTTACTGGCTGAAAGTCACAACTGGCTGGAACTCGACAAGTTTTCCAAGGCTCGTAAATCTCTAATTGGATACGAGGTAAGTTTATTGACAATGTTTTCCAAAATAATTAAGCAATGTGCTCAACTAGGGACAGATACGGGCAAAGCTAATCCTTTAAACCCTAAAATCCGGACTCACTTACGCAGGTAATTTGGGACCTTACAAAACTACCATGGCGACGGGAATGGAAACGCCTAAAACGCAATAGGTTAATGAAGGAGCGGAACAACAGCTTTACACGTCCATCAATCTTTTTTGTAAATTTTTTTGCCTTTCCAACACATCTACGATAGGACATGACTAAATTTGAGAAATTTGAGAATGGGACTCTCCCTACCTTCAGCTCCAACCTAATTTCCCTTCTTTTAAGTAACTAGACGAATTGAAATGATGCGAAGTCAATTTTTCATCGACCTTTTCCATTGGCGTCGCCGTTATCAGATCGTAAGTACAGGTGGTTAGGGTCTACGCCTTGTTACGGCGGTGGTCAAAACAAGGACAAGTTTGTGAAGAGAAAAAAGGAACCGGAAACGGGTTTTTAACAGAGTCGAACGTTTCTACAACGGCTCCCTTGAGAGCAAAGTGCCTTTTCTAGAGGAGTTGCCTTTGTGGGGAATAAGGGGGCATCTCGGAACACTCCGCAATATCCCCTGGAACATCCCCCGGAATCTGGGAGTAAGTAAAATGAAAAACACAAAAAGAAACCCTAACCCCACTGTGTAAGATATTAAATGTTCAAGAGTGAATGTACGGACTGTCTGGCGGAATAAAAATCATGCTAGTCTTGGACAGATGGCGATTGGAAGATTCGTAGGTATTTATCAAAAAGCATTTATTTCTTTTGTATTAAAGGCTACGTTCATGAGTTCCCATGACTGTAACATTGTGAATAAACATTCCAATGTGAAGACGCTGTAAATTTTATTTACGTTGCTTTTTTTATAGCCATTTTTTGGTAAGTACTTCATGTCAAGCCATCATATAGTTGTCTATATATTTTGCCTTCATCCCTTACTTAAGATGCTTGAGATGCTTTACTTGCTTGAGAGATCGCTTTGCTTGCTTGAGGTGCTTTGCTTACTTCAGGTGCTTTGCTTGCTTGAGGTGCTTTGCTTGCTTGAGGTGCTTTGCTTACTTGAGGTGCTTTGCCTGCTTGAGGTGCTTTGCTTACTTGAGGTGCTTTGCTTACTTGAGGTGCTTTGCTTACTTGAGGTGCTTTGCTTACTTGAGGTGCTTTGCTTACTTGAGGTGCTTTGCTTACTTGAGGTGCTTTGCTTACTTGAGGTGCTTTGCTTACTTGAGGTGCTTTGCTTGCTTGAGGTGCTTTGCTTGCTTGAGGTGCTTTGCTTACTTGAGGTGCTTTGCTTACTTGAGGTGCTTTGCTTACTTGAGGTGCTTTGCTTACTTGAGGTGCTTTGCTTACTTGAGGTGCTTTGCTTACTTGAGATGCTTGGCTTACTTGAGGTGCTTTGCTTGCTTGAGGTGCTTTGCTTACTTGAGGTGCTTTGCTTGCTTGAGGTGCTTTGCTTACTTGAGGTGCTTTGCTTACTTGAGGTGCTTTGCTTGCTTGAGGTGCTTTGCTTGCTTGAGGTGCTTTGCTTACTTGCGGTGCTTTGCTTGCTTGAGATGCTTTGGTTACTTGAGGTGCTTTGCTTGCTTGAGATGCTTTGCCTGCTTGAGGTGCTTTGCCTGCTTGAGGTGCTTTGCTTACTTGAGGTGCTTTACTTACTTGAGGTGCTTTGCCTGCTTGAGGTGCTTTAGTTACTTGAGGTGCTTTGCTTACTTAAGGTGCTTTAGCTTACTTGAGATGCTTTGCTTACTTAAGGTGCTTTAGCTTGCTTGAGGTGCTTTGCTTACTGGAGATGCTTTGCTTACTTAAGGTGCTTTAGCTTACTTGAGGTGCTTTGCTTGCTTGAGGTTCTTTACTTGCTTGAGGTGCTTTAGCTTACTTGAGGTGCTTTGCCCGCTTGAGGTGCTTTGCTTACTTGAGGTGCTTTGTTTACTTGAGATGCTTTGCTTACTTGAGATGCTTTGCTTATTTGAGGTGCTTTGCTTACTAAAGGTGCTTTAGCTTACTTGAGGTGCTTTGCCTGCTTGAGGTGCTTTGCTTACTTGAGGTGCTTTGTTTACTTGAGATGCTTTGCTTACTTGAGGTGCTCTGCTTACTTGAGGTGCTTTACTTACTAAAGGTGCTTTAGCTTACTTGAGGTGCTTTGCTTGCTTTAGATGCTTTGCTTACTTAAGGTGCTTTAGCTTACTTGAGGTGCTTTGCTTACTTGAGATGCTTTGCTTGCTTGAGGTGCTTTGTTTGCTTAAGGTGCTTTGCCTACTTGAGGTGCTTTACTTGCTTTAGGTGCTTTAGCTTACTTGAGGTGCTTTGCCTGCTTGAGGTGCTTTGCTTACTTGCGGTGCTTTAGCTTGCTTGCGGTGCTTTGCTTGCTTGAGATCCTTTGCTTGCTTGAGGTGCTTTGCTTACTTGAGGTGCTTTTCTTAATTACTTGAGGTGCTTTGCTTGCTTGAGGTGCTTCCGCGCAACAAAAAAAAATATAGAACAAACGACAAAACAAAACCCGTTTTCCGACCAGACCAGACCAAATCCATACCCGTTTTCAGACCTGATCTTTAGGCAGAAGTAATGTCATCATCTCAAAGAAAAAAAATTCTTTAAAGCCATTTCGAAATCGCATATTTCTCTTTATTGCTTACTAATTTGGAGTTGAAACGATAATTAAGTTCATGCACTCCTGTAACTCCCTCGAAAATCATACTCGATTCTAGACCAAAATGGGCAAAATCTATACCCGTTTAAAGACCAAAAAGTGCGCAAAAAGAAACCATACCCTTTGGGATGACACATACCAGAACTGAACTGTTTGGCTTATACAAGGGAGTGTCGGTATCCCCCGGGATTTACATGGAGTTATTTATTGTCAGTATAATCCTGCAATTTGATTTGGTATCCTACTACTTGTCCCCTAGTAGCAATGAAAAACGCTGCTTTGGAGGCGCATTCCCTTTCCAACGAATTTTTCCAAATTAACTTTTATCTGTGACGTTGACCGATACTTAACTATTAGACAATGGCAAAATCACAGAACAAATAGACAAATAAATATCTTTATTACGTGATGCTCAAAATTCTATTTTATAAAAATAAATTTAATTTAATTTAAATTTAGTACAAAATAATTACACTGATCCCTTGTTGTAATTGAAAAACAAAGCTATGTGTTGTCAGGTCAAACTGTAAAGAAGACGCGTACGCGCGTGAATGAAGTAATGCAGTGGTAAGATGAATTCAATAAGAAGTAAATAGCTGAGTGTGAATGAGAAAGCGGGAATGTTCAGTTACAAGGATGTAAAAATAAAGGATAAAAAAGACAATGAACTGAATAGTTGAAACATTTGATTTCCTGTCTTTGGTGTGGAAACAAAAACTAGATTTTAGGGTTCATTTCAAGTAAACGTACGGGCGTTGATTTACGTTTTGAACTATAATACTTTTTTTTATCTTGTGAATACTGAGGGACAAACATCCGAACTGTCAAAGTACAGACAGCTGCTCTCGGTAGTTTGCGATTCTGCGATGTTTTTGATTGGATACCATAAAATTCCGAAAGTTGTTTCCTTGCGGCTTGCTTCCGTTTGTAGCTGTTAGCCAGTTTTTGTCCTCTTCTACTCTACAATGCTAGCGAGTTTGAATGAACGCGAGTTGTTACCTTAAAAAAAACGATGTGATCCAACCAAAAGACTATGGTTTAATCTTGTCCAAAAAACATACATAGAAATACCGGTGCAAGATTTTACTTTTCACAGTAACTTGCTTTTCCTTTTATTATCATGTGTTGTTTAAACAACTGCTTTATATTGTACCGGAAGCATATAATATGCCTCTGATTGTACCTTTTCGATTTGTTTTCTTTGGTTGCGTCGAATGAGCTTCTGCATACACTAAAACAAAAGTTCAATAGTTTTCTTGCAAGATGTACAATCACATTCTGTCCCCCATTACCTGGACAGGAGGGTGGTGGTAGTTTGGAGGGGTGGGGAACCACTCCCTTAAAATAGTTTATCCTTTAAGGTTTGAAAGGTTCCCTATCCAGGATTTTTCGAATACTCCGTTGTTGTAGAAGCCCGTTTCTTCGAACCAACATCGTTTCCCCTAGATTTGCTTCCGTCAGACACTGTCATTTTTTAACCGACTTTTCTAACCCTCCATTTTTGGAAACTCCTGATAGTTGAAACTTTTAAGTTCTCCATGCATTTTTTCGCGAATTAAGAAATCAACAAAACCGGTTCTAGCTACATGTATACCCCCACAGTTCCGAAGAAGATTATTTATGCATTTTTATCACCTTACAAAGCAATTTAAAAAGTTGTCATTGTGGTCATAGGAAATTATCCACAATCGATCGTCAAATCCCAGTTCTTGATCTCGCCGAAACTGGCTCAATCCTTACATTTACCTTTTTACACGCATATGTTTTGTTCGTAAAAGATGGTACACACATAAATATGAGTGAAACTAACTGTTATTTGCCTCCAGTACCTAAGCAGAAACAATACCACGGTAAAATTATAATCCCATGAAATTGACTTAAGTCAGGCTTAAAAAAAAAACAACATGGCAGGAGAACCTTTCAGAGGTCATCTCTGTGATCATCCAACAACTCAGGGAAGGAATGTTCGTTCGAACTTCAAAAAACTCTTACCTGCTTGTTCCGCTTGTTCGCTTGTTGCAAGGATTTCTTCATCAAGTGCCTAAAAAAGAAGTTCATATTGTAAAATTTATGGGCTGTTGCATCTCTTCTACGACCGCCTAAAATTGTTACACATATTTTACCACTTGGAAAAGCTCAGTCGTTTTCCCGTTATGGTAGAAACATGGGAGAACCCTGAATTTATATTAAGTTAAAGCAAAACTCCAAAAATTACCTGTTTTTCTTCGTCGCTGTCACCTGAAGACGAAGAATGTAAATAAAAGAGTGAAAACTGAAACTCTGGATACTATTATTCCACATTCAGCTGTTGCTCTTTTATTAACTTCACAGTCAACTTTAAACAATTGACTGAGATCGCTGGATCTCTTGACAACAACTTTTATTGTTCGAAAAACTGTTCCCCGAACATTTTGAAGTATTGGTAAATCCAATAAAAATTATTGGAACATTATTCCACTGTGCACTTCCTCTCACTTGATTATAATTACATGTATTTGCATGTGCATTTATCTGCTTTGAGTTCTGGTTAGCTCAGTTGAAGTGCATTGTTATTTGAAAATTGATTATTTACTCTCTTAAACACTAGCCCTTAATCTACTCAAATATTTATTGGTAATAACAGAATGTAGCCTTTAAAGGTACATTTATAATTCGGCTCAATGCTTACCGGAAATCACCTGCAAAGGCTGCACTGAATTATATTTACTTGTACCTTGAAAAAAAAACCCAACAACAGAACTGAAACATGCATGTGTAGGTGATATTAATAAATGTCAATATTTTGTCGAAATTATTTAATTCACGGTCAAGAAACAACAATTGTACAAACTGTAAATGTATAATGCACTATGACATTTCTAGAATTTTAGTCTTGTGCCATGCTGCTGGTGTAATTGAAGCATAAATAATTTTAAATATTTCTGAAAAGCACTTAAAATTTTATTGATTTCAGCCAAAGCTGTTGAAAAAGAGCAGAACAATTTGTCCACCTTATAATGAATGATTACTAAAGCAAGACATAAAAAATACGTACCTCCACAACTTCAGAACTTCCAGAGGGTACATTGGTACACATGAAATGTATTTATCATGGGTTATGTAACCTTTTCTTTGGGGTGTTACATGGTATGCTGTTCTGTTGCTTCATTAGCGGTAGGCTATATATATTTGAGTTGTTCTCATTTATATTCATTCGCGTCTTACGACCGTCCCTACGCCCTCAAAATTAAATACCCAGTGATCAGGGGTTTCTCTTAGACGTAGTTTTTTGCATGCTGCTATATGAAAGGTTTAGCACGTTTTGTATGTTTACTGAATCATTGTTATACGAGCATAGTTTAGATCATTTTGTTGGGTTGTTTTTCTTGCTGTAATTTTTTACATTTCCGAGTTTTCTGTTTGTTGTATTATTTCCATCCATTCTGTTGATGAAGGCATAATAAAGAGGGTCGCACACGGCTCGTGTTGACACACCCCAATTGAGGTTGCTTGTTACATGATAAATGTTTTATATTCGTTTGAGCGGGGCAGCGAATTAGAATATAAAGATACTTTAAACAGATTATTAATCAAAATATGTTAATTCAAATTTGTTGAAAAAAATTGCACATGCAGTATGCGGCAAAATTTTTTATTCACTGTTAAAAAGAATAAAGTAGAAGCAAAGGGCAAAGAGAACAATGAAAGAAAACGAATAAAACAAAAATTTTCATTCAAGTATTGAAATTGAGTCACATTATATAATATACTTTATAACAATTAACTCACTGATAAATGAAATATCATAAAAACAAAAATCTGCAAACACTTCAAGTTGGTAGATAAATTGATACATGAATTTTAAACAAACAAAAACAGCTTGAGCGACGGTGGCGTGCTTCCCGTTCTATGCGTGATCGTGAAGCTTACACGCGTAAATGTAAAGTTCTTAAGGACTTGCTATCTTCATCAAGAAGTAACTATTATTCAAATCTAGTTGCTGAGAATCAGTCTAACATGAGATCGCTTTTCGCAGTTTTTAGTAAACTACTTCATCGACGTCATGAGGCGAAGTACCCAAAGCATGATTCCTCGTCTTCTTTGGCCAATGATTTTGTTCTATTCTTTGGTGACAAGATCCGAAGAATCCGTCGTGACCTTGATCAAGTCCCACCTTTGGATACTGCTGTAGATAACGGCACTACAGGCTGTCAACTGAACATGTTTTCGACTGTTCCACCGGATGAACTCTTGAGTATCATCGGCTCAACTACCCCTAAGTCCTGTGAGTTAGATCCTGTTCCTGGTCATGTACTTAAATGTCTGTTTCCTTCTATTCTCCCAGTAATACACCAGATTGTCAACCTTTCCTTGGAAACTGGTCGGATGCCTGGAATACTTAAACAAGCTATACTTAAGCCATTGCTCAAAAAGCCCTCTCTGGATTCGATCGACTTCAAGAACTATAGGCCTATTTCTAATCTTCGTTTCATATCCAAAACTATTGAAAAATGTGTTGCTAAACAGCTTATTCAATACTTAGATGTTAATGACCTTGGTGAAACATATCAATCGGCCTATAAGAGAAACCATAGTACAGAGACGGCTCTTATTAGAGTCCACAATGACATAGCCATGGCAATAGATCAACATAATTCAGTTATCCTAGTACTTCTCGATCTTTCGGCTGCATTTGATACTGTTGATCATGCATGGTATCCTCCTTTCGCGACTGTCCAATCGCTTTGGAATTACTGGAACTGTATTGGAATGGATTCGATCATATCTTTCTGATCGTACACAGTTTGTGCACGTTAATGGTGCGTGCTCTGCTTCTCATGTTCTTGAGTTTGGTGTACCGCAGGGATCCGTTCTTGGCCCGTTGTTATATTCAATGTACACATCCCCTTTTGGCGAGATTGCTCGACGTCATCAAATGTTCTATCACTTTTATGCTGATGACACTCAGCTATATATTACGTTCAGGACGTCGTCTGTTTCTGATATGAATCTGAGTAATGCCAAATTGGTAAACTGTGTTCGGGACATGGACGCATGGATGCTTTCCAACAAGCTGAAATTAAATAAAGACAAGTCCGAAGTTCTCGTAATATCCTCTTCCTATCGACCTCAGCCACCACTATCTTCTGTTGATATATGTAATGAGACTGTATCCTGCTCCCCCAGTGCACGCAATATTGGAGTTATCTTTCATCAGTCCCTTTGTATGGTACTTCATGTCAATGTAGTCTGTCAATCGTCCTTTTTCCATCTTCGTAACATTGGTTTCATACGCAAATATCTTACTTGTGATGCTGCAAAGATCATTATTCATACCTTCGTAGTTTCTAAACTTGATTATTGTAATTCTTTATTGCACGGCCTACCATCGTATCTTATTCGGAAGCTTCAACATGTTCAAAATTCTGCTGCTCGCCTTGTCAACCAGTGTCCAAGATTTTGCCATGACTCCAGTCATGAGGGATCTTCACTGGCTCCATGTCTCCTTTCGCATTGAATTTAAAATTGTTAATTACTAACAAAGTACTACATGATCGAGCTCCAATCTATACAGGAACTCCTTCAACTGTATACACCCAGCTGCAATCTTAGATCCTCTAATAGAAATGTATTAGTTAAACCCTATTTTAATCTCAATTCGTATGGTAAACGAGCTTTTTCTGTTGCTGCTCCGGAACTTTGGAATAACTTACCTGAGGATATTAAATCTGCAAACTCAACTGATGATTTTAAACGCAAACTTAAAACATTTCTTTTTATGCGAGCTTATGAATCGTGACGTTTTTATTTGTTATCTGGTTTTTTATCTATTGTCTACATTTATCTACTTTGTAGTTAACGTCTAGTTTTAATGTCAATTTCTTGTGATTATTTTTACTTTTTAGTTCTATCTAATTTTTTGTAAACAGGGCCTTTGAATCTTGTAGAAAAGGCGCTATATAAATGGATTATTATTATTATTATTATTATTATTATTACTATTATCATTTAAGGGCTCACATTGGGTAGTATTTCCTTGTGAGTTAGCATTAACTTGAAGCTTAATGTTGGTTTCTTCCACCTGCTGGGGATCGGCTTCCCCTGGCATCTGGTCAGAAACTGCAATGTTTTCTGAGACTAATAATACAAGATACGTTGGATACACCTATGACTTCTAGATGCAAATGAAAGCCTTTGGTTTCCTGTGACACAAGACTTTAGAGCTTATACACTTGTGCTTGCGTCCCCAGTGAAAACCAGGCATATGTGCTAATAATGTACTATCTGAATCATTTTTGCTGAGAATATTTTATAATGTTAACTACTTAATCATAGGCAAAAGAAGGTTAAATACTTACTAGTGATCACTGGCACGGCTTGAGCTGCATTAACTTGCTGCTTAAAAAAACAATAGAAAACTTAGGGGGTATGTGCTGTACCAACTTTTCAATAATCATAAAGGGGAATTTAAAAATTTTAAAATTAATTAATAACCCATTAAAAAAATCAGGTTAGTTTGATCAACAGGCGAATTCATGCGTGAACATATATGATAGCCGTAAACATAAGATGCACAAAAGTTTGATCTCTAGGCTTAATTAAGCCCAGTGGGGGAGAGGGTACATCCAGATTAAAAGTGACAGGAATGATTTAATGGTTAAAAAAATCCCTAGGGCTTCAAACAAAACCCCCAAAAATCCGTGGACCAAAATTTAACCCCCTTAAAAACTCATGCTGGATTTCCACGCTATCAAAATTTCCAGAAAGCATTTATTCACATGACATAATTATAACACAAAAAATAGAAACATTAGTTTTGAATAACTAAAAAATCCCTTTATGCTTAAAATATAGCAAAAAATGGGATAGGGCAAGGAAATATAAATACATACTTTAACATTTATAGAACTTCCATTACAGGGTGTAGGTGCGTTCCTCGTGCTCGAAAATGCTTTAAAAAAAGACTATTATTTAGAAAGCTATAAGTAATGATTTTTAGAGCAGTTTTCCCTTAATATACACATGAATAGTGACACTGTTAATAAGATTTCCTTCGTACAACCCAAAACTTGTCGTCCGTTACTGAAAAAGAGGAGAAATGACTGGGTCACATGACTTTTTATCGCAGTTTTCTTACGCGAAAAAAGGTATTTGTAAGGCTCCTGCTATAAAGAACCTATCATGAATGACCGACTGCGATTGAAGTGTAGTCTCTGAAATCAAATTAGGTGATCTTTCTATTCCATTTTATCTAGTTCGTAATTTAAAAGGTCGTGAAAACTGAAAGGACATTATTTCCATTTCAAACAAAACTACATTTCTTAGCGGGCGGTCAAAGAACAAATTAAAGAGATTAAAGAACTGACCGTGTCGTAGCATACTTGAAATGGAAGTAGACACGGTTAACGATCAAAAGATAATTCAAAAGATTTGTTTTTCAAAACTTGCAAAATTGAGTTTTTTATACATTCGACGCTATTTCAATACGATGTTGAATTTAAAATTACACATTTGAAGCAAAATCCGGCTTTTTGAAACAGAAACATCGAAAGGCGGGGACTTTTGTGCTTGCCTATGAAGTCAAGTGACTATTGGCCACGGTAAAACAAGGGATTTCAGTCTTTAAAATGACTGCCATTCCCCACAAAGCCTATACGCGTTGATACAAATCTCGAAGAGAAAAATAAATTGTTTTGAATTAGACCCCACTCTTGCATTTGAAGCTTGCATAAAAAATGAAGAAAAGAATTTGGACGTTTAAGTAAAGTTAATAGGGGGAGATTTTAGTTACTTAAGGCGCTTCCCATTCGGTGTCAGAACTGGTCGGCGGCCGTACCATTGCCGGACAAGTCAATTGGCAAATGAAATCGGCTTTTTCAAAGGGTTTTTGCAGAAGAAATACTGTCAGTTAAGTGTATACTATTTAAGATTTGACTGATCTGGCTGGATAGTTCTGATTTTAAGTGATATTCTCCATACCACAAGAACGGTCTGGCCGGTCAGTTCTGACAGCGGTGAAAAGAGCCCTTGCCCTTAGTTATGTTAGCAGTTAGTTAATGTTAGCGAGGACTTTGTTGACTCATAGACACAAATTAACTTCTAAACAGGCCCGGTAGTTTCAGTGGTTCGTTTCAATAAGCCTATCCATTTTTTGTGTATATAGCGGCTTTCTAGCGCTATGATCCCATTTAATTCGGATTTCATGTTATGTTTTAGTTTATTATTCTCGCCAAAAGTACATTCAGTACATTGATTACGAATGCAATCTTTTCAGTAAAAGATGAATGCCAAGGGAGCCTGTAAGGAGCCCATAATGATTCTTTAAAGGTCTACCTTTATGCAAAGTTAATTATTTAACTATTTAATAGTACATTCATAGGATAATAAAAATACAGTCATAGGATGGACAGTTTTGCTAAGTGTACACAAATATTTTGATCACAAGTTATTAAACATTTAATTCAAAATAAATCATAGTTAATCAAAAACTCTTGTTTCACGCGCGTTTGGTACATATCCAATTGCTAACTCGGAATGACCACAGGGGAATACGGACATTATTTAACCATTTAATAAGAACGAGCGTTTCATCTCAAATCTGACTGATATCTTTTCCTTCCACATGAGTTCAACATCTTGTGAGTGCCACTTTCAGACTGCAAATTTTTCTCTTCCTTCATCCGCCCAGAGCTTTAGCTCGCACACCCTTATCAAAAATAACTTTTTTATAACAGTGTTTAAAGAAGAGGCTATCAGGCCCGTAGGCAGGATTTTTACGGGGAGATGCGATCCAAAGAGTCCCAGAGGGGTGGGGGTGTTCTAAGACTGCATTTCAAGCGGAAAAACTGTTTTTTTTTTTCAAACTTTTACTCTTCAAAAGTACTTTTTTTCAAATAAAGTACTTTACTTTACAATCTTTTAGAGTGGCAATGCGAAATGTAACTATTCAAAAGAAAAAAAAGTAGAAAGAAAATTGTAAATCCGCATTATGCCGGGCCCTAGGTATGATGCATGATCTTTCCATCATGATCTTTCAATAGTGTGCCAAGCTCAGGCTTCCTTGGGTGTTTCCTATAAAAAGATCAAAGACTTCTTTCAGTTCAATGTATATTAGATAGCGAATAATAAGAATAATAACTTTTGGTCACAGAAAAACAAAGCAAAGCAAAGCATCCCAAGTAAGCAAAGCACCCCAAGTAAGCGGGAAAGCACCTTAAGTAAGCAAAGCACCTCAAGCAAGCAAAGCACCTTAAGCGGGCAAAGCATCTCAAGTAAGCAAAGCATCTCAAGCAGGCAAAGTACCTCAAGTAAGCAAAGCATCTCAAGCAAGTAAAGCACCTCAAGTAAGCAAAGCACCTCAAGCAGGTAAAGCACCTCAAGCAAGTAAAGCACCTTAAGTAAGCCAAGCATCTCAAGTAAGCAAAGCACCTCAAGCAGGCAAAGCACCTCAAGCAGGCAAAGCACCTCAAGTAAGCAAAGCACCTCAAGCAAGTAAAGAACCTAAAGCAAGCAAAGCACCTCAAGTAGGCAAAGCACCTTAAGTAAGCCAAGCATCTCAAGTAAGCAAAGCACCTCAAGCAGGCAAAGCACCTCAAGTAAGCAAAGCACCTCAAGCAGGCAAAGCACCTGAAGTAAGCCAAGCATCTCAAGTAAGCAAAGCACCTCAAGCAAGCAAAGCACCTTAAGTAAGCCAAGCATCTCAAGTAAGCAAAGCACCTCAAGCAGGCAAAGCACCTCAAGTAAGCAAAGCACCTCAAGCAAGTAAAGAACCTAAAGCAGGCAAAGCACCTCAAGTAAGCAAAGCACCTCAAGCAAGTAAAGCACCTCAAGCAAGTAAAGCACCTCAAGTAAGCCAAGCACCTCAAGTAAGCAAAGCACCTCAAGCAGGCAAAGCACCTCAAGTAAGCAAAGCACCTCAAGCAAGTAAAGAACCTAAAGCAAGCAAAGCACCTCAAGCAAGCAAAGCACCTCAAGTAGGCAAAGCACCTTAAGTAAGCCAAGCATCTCAAGTAAGCAAAGCACCTCAAGCAGGCAAAGCACCTCAAGTAAGCAAAGCACCTCAGGCAGGCAAAGCACCTGAAGTAAGCCAAGCATCTCAAGTAAGCAAAGCACCTCAAGCAAGCAAAGCACCTTAAGTAAGCCAAGCATCTCAAGTAAGCAAAGCACCTCAAGCAGGCAAAGCACCTCAAGCAGGCAAAGCACCTCAAGTAAGCAAAGCACCTCAAGCAAGCAAAGCACCTCAAGCAGGCAAAGCACCTCAAGTAGGCAAAGCACCTAAAGTAAGCCAAGCATCTCAAGTAAGCAAAGCACCTCAAGCAGGCAAAGCACCTGAAGTAAGCAAAGCACCTCAAGCAGGCAAAGCACCTGAAGTAAGCCAAGCATCTCAAGTGAGCAAAGCATCTCAAGTAAGTAAAGCACCTCAAGTAAGCAAAGCACCTCAAGCAACCCAAGCACCTTAAGTAAGCCAAGCACCTCAAGCAGGCAAAGCACCTCAAGTAAGTAAAGCACCTCAAGTAAGCAAAGCACCTCAAGCAGGCAAAGCACCTCAAGTAAGCCAAGCATCTCAAGTAAGCAAAGCACCTCAAGCAGGCAAAGCACCTCAAGTAAGCAAAGCACCTCAAGCAAGTAAAGAACCTAAAGCAGGCAAAGCACCTCAAGTAGGCAAAGCACCTTAAGTAAGCCAAGCATCTCAAGTAAGCAAAGCACCTCAAGCAGGCAAAGCATCTCAAGTAAGCAAAGCACCTCAAGCAAGCAAAGCACCTTAAGTAAGCCAAGCATCTCAAGTAAGCAAAGCACCTCAAGCAAGCAAAGCACCTCAAGCAAGCAAAGCACCTCAAGTAAGCAAAGCACCTCAAGCAAGTAAAGCACCTCAAGCAGGCAAAGCACCTCAAGTAGGCAAAGCACCTCAAGTAAGCAAAGCATCTCAAGTAAGCAAAGCACCTCAAGCAGGCAAAGCACCTCAAGTAAGCAAAGCACCTCAAGTAAGCAAAGCACCTCAAGCAAGCAAAGCACCTTAAGTAAGCAAAGCACCTCAAGCAGGCAAAGCACCTCAAGTAAGCAAAGCACCTCAAGTAAGCAAAGCACCTCAAGCAGGCAAAGCACCTCAAGTAAGCAAAGCACCTCAAGTAAGCAAAGCACCTCAAGCAGGCAAAGCACCTCAAGTAAGCAAAGCACCTCAAGCAAGCAAAGCACCTTAAGTAAGCCAAGCACCTCAAGTAAGCAAAGCACCTCAAGCAGGCAAAGCACCTCAAGTAAGCAAAGCACCTCAGGCAAGCAAAGCACCTTAAGTAAGCCAAGCATCTCAAGTAAGTAAAGCACCTCAAGGAGGCAAAGCATCTCAAGTAAGTAAAGCATTTCAAGTAAACAAAACATCTCAAGTTAGTAGAGAATCATAAGTAAGGTATACACCTAAACTAAATTAGAGAAGAAAAGTATCTCTAGTAAGCAAAGCTACCAAAGAAGATAAGTGAGATTAAGTATATGGACAACTATATGATGGCTTGACATGAAGTACTTCCCCATTTTTTGAAGTATGCCTGGAATGCAACAACAGAATAGAAGCGGAGAAATATGTCTCCAGAGTTCTCCTCGAAAAGAAAGTGACGTGTTATGTGAAACTCGGGTGAGTTTATCAGTTCATTGAAGTTCTTACTTTACTCAAAGGCTGACTAAACAAACTTACCTTGTGTAGTGGTCACTTGTGTTGCAACCATGCCGTTCATCCTGTCACTGAATCCGCTGACCACAAAACCCTGGGCGTATACAAATTCGTAAGTGATTGGGAACAATAACTCGAGTTCTGCACTGCTAATTGATGCTACCCTGAGAAAATAGCTGACATTTTGTGATTCCACCACTGGTTTCCTCGCGAACTGGTCTGAAGAATGTTTGCAGATATTCCATACTGATATGACGTGTAGCTTTCTATCAGTAAAAACAAAATTGACTGGTTTGTTGGCTAGGACTCGTCATTTAATTCCTTTGATTTTGATTTAATTATTTGATTTCGGGCCTGAAAAGTTACCGGGACTTTCGAGAAACGGGCTAATCATATTCCACCTACTTATAAACGACATTTTAACTTTTGTCCCAGGAAATACGAAGATGCGGCGAAAACAGCTTTTGCTCAGAAAAGCGAGGAGGGCCAGGATTTAGTCCTTGGAAAATGTGCAACTTCAAATCGTCCGTTGGTGAACCGCATTTAAGAAATGAAGGCTCCTCTGTGGCAAAGACGTTAAAATTCTTAGATAGATTGAAATCTTAACCCCAAGATAAATTCTCAGTCGAAATTCTCAGTAGAAAAGCCTTATTAGAATGTATTTTGAGCAAGTTTCGTCTCATCAAGCGCACCTTGCGAGTTCATGGAAACCGAGTTCGTGTTAATTGGATCAAGGTAGAGGCTAAGTACTGTAACAGTTTCCCCAACACTTGCAATTAATGATTTTCGGGTTACCCAAGTCGCTACTGCTAAATCTCTTGGAGTGACCATCGATGATAATCTCGATTGGGGTAGCCATATGGAGAAGATAATAAAGAAAGTATCTTCTGGCATCGGGGCCATAAAGAGAGTATTAAAGGCACCTTGTCCCCCAAGCGACCTTACAACTAATTTACCACGCTCTTTTTCACCCTCATTTCAATTACTGCAATACTGTTTTGGCCGGAAACTGTGGGATAACCTTAAGGAACAAACTTCAAAAACTACAAATTAGAGCAGCCCGTTTTTTGACATTTTCAGACTACGATGAAGACGCTGGTTACCTGTTTGAACTCCCAGGATGGAAAAATCTAGCACGCCAGCATGAAATTGAAAAAAACCACGATGGTTTCTAAGTCTTTACACCGGTTGGCTCCAGAATATTTAAGTTCTAGGTTTGCAATACGAGAAACGGCATATAACCTTAGAGACTCTGAGAATAAACTTTGCATCCTTTACCACGGACAAATTATTACAACAATAGCTTTAGCTATAGTGGCGCCATCCTATGGAACAAACTCCAGTGTAATGTGAGACAAGCAGAGTCCCTTACGAAATTCAAATGTCTTCTTAAACAAGTACTCAAGGGCACGGCATTCATGGAAAGCAGCTTTTTCTTTAATATTTTTATTATAATGTAGATAGTTTATACTGTTTTCTTATTTGAATTGTAATGAATTGTATTTAACAATTATTCCTCGAGCCCGAATGGGCTCTGAGTCAATAGCCCATTCGGCCTTCGGCCTCATGGGCTATTGACTCAGAGGCCATGAGGGTGAGAGGAATAATTGTTTTAGTAAAATCCAACTAGTTGGTCAAAAATATCGAGACAAAACAACTTTAGCTAGTTAAAGTAAGACTTTAATCCTTTTTTGCCGCCAAAAAGCCAGCGCTTTTCGCTACTAGTGGGCTATAACATATAGCCTAGTATTAGCTCACCCAATCAGAATTCAACATTGATAATGGACCACTAGTTGGATTTTACTAACTACCTATATCTATCTATCTACCTACCTACCTACCTCCGTGGCTGAGCCTCGGGTTCCGTTTTACCACACTCGGACAAGATTACAAGATCTTATGCTATGACGGTGGCCGGTCGTTTCGATACAAAATTGTTTCGATACAAGTAAATTTGCTTGTCAAAATGATCTTCCAGGAAAACTACCTAATAAAGGTTTTGATGCAAATTACTTGGTGTTGCCGCCGTAGTACATGTGTGTTATTGGCACACAGGATTGTTGATTGTGTACTGGCCAATCACAATAAAGCAAGCAAAGCAAGCAAAGCAAGCAAACCTCAAAACTACAAAATAATTACCACTACTGTCTGCGTTTTAGTTATCTGGCGCCTTATTGGCTAACTTCTGGCAACACAATAACATTCCTTAAATATTTATTGTGTTCACGGTTTTGTGAGTTTCACAGTAAAAATTCGTTATTTCTCACCTTTAACTACTGCAGATATAACATTATAACCCTTTTCAATTGGTGAAAATTGTGAATTACCTGAAGATCAATATTATTTAAGGTTTTCTTTTATCGTTTGTTTCACGGAAGTCGCATTACGATTTTCCGCGCGGGACTATTAGTAAACCACCGTAATCCTTAGTGATTTGGTGTATCACGAACCTCACCCAGGACATGGTTGGTAGGGTTCGATCTAAAGCATTGTTGGCATTAGAGGAGATGACTGTTCCTTCAGCGGTCCACTGTGCTGTTGTACTGATCGGTGTCTGACTGTAGGCATCCTCGTATCAGGATTCTCAATTCCACTGTCCCTATTGATGCTGTTAAGTGTTTCCTTAACCCTCCGAGAGTACCAGCGAGGGTCTCGGTTACTGTTAAAAGTGACCTCGTCCCAGAGCTGATAATGCCCCGTCTTATTGGCGTGTCCAGAAACGGCTTGAAGTTTAAGTTCGTGAAAGCGGTATGTCCCTATCGTGCTCACTTTCCCATTATAGGGAAGACCTTTCCAATTTCAGCACCAGAAATATTTATAGCATGTTATTGTGTTGCGAGAAATTAGCCAATAAGGCGCGAGATAACTAAACCGCAAACACCAATGGTAATTAGTTTGTGGTTTTGAGGATTCCTTTCGTATCCTAAACTTTATTGAGATTGGCCACGCAGGGTTAGCTCAGTAGTTTGAACTTTAGTGACGTCATGTGAAAACCAACAATACTCAAGGTCTTAAAATAACTGAGATATGAAGGTACTTTTTTAACCTGTAAGCGGCTAGACCTTCGCGTGCCTCGGATGACCACGTAAAATGGCGGTCCCGTGTAAAAATAGTGTCCCCAAATAGTACTCTCCTGCTAAATACCTGAAATTTTTCACGTGTTCACGGTTTTCCGAGTTTCACAGTAATCTAGCCCGCTCGGGATTTCCTGCGGGATTTCTTGCTTATCTGTTCACTCCTTAAAAATCTGTCATTTAAAATAATTTTAAATGACAGATTTTATACGTCGCTTAGCTTCTTTGCTTCCAGGGAAAACTCGACGCCAGAGTTCCATAACAATGCTTTATTATTCTTTTTGCGGTAAAAAAGTCAGGAAAGAAAATAGCCTTAACAATCTGACAACGAGTATTCTGTCATTTTCCTCACCACCCGCGAGAAAGGTGACGCGCGAAAGAAACAGAGCACCGCGCGTGGGACACCTTCCTCGCGGGTCGCGATTCTCAATAATTTAGCGCGTTCATTGCTAACCAGGTCTAAGGGACAGGTCATTGTTTATCTCCGGGGGTGGGGGGAGGATTTGAGGCAAAACAAGAGAAAAGTTAGCCGATACCCCCTTTGAGTGTTACTTCACTGAAGTGATCCCCCCTAATAACTTTTGATGACTTTCACGATCTCCCCCCCCACCACGTCTTCATTTTCCAAGCAAATTTGAGTGGTCCCCACTCTGAATCCTTCCGAAGTTTTCAGCGATCCCCGCTTTTGGATTCTCAGTTACAACTGATCCCCCCTTTTGTTCTCCCAAAAAACAAGTAATCCCCTCTAAAATCCTCCGACCCCGCACCCAGGCGACCGGTCCCTAACCCATATATGGCATACATGGCAAGACCTGAAACCAGGCCAAATTGATGGGAGTCGAGTGCTCTGACCACTGCCTCACCCCTCCCCCATGTGTTCAGTTCAAAACAAAAAACTATGTATTTTCTAAAAAAGTGAACCAGTAACACATTTAATTTTATTTTGCAAATAAAACATAGGAATTAACAAAATACCAATGCTATTACAATGCTACAGTTCAGTCATGATAAAGATAAAATGTAAATGTTGAAAAAAATTTTTTTGAATCCACCAGGATATTGAGGAATTTTGATTTTCAGAGGACAAAAATCTTATACCTTAATAATTTAAAGCATGTTGCATTCTTTCTTACATTTTTCAAGGGCTAAAGATGTAATAAATCATCTGTAGTGACACCAAAAAAAATGGGAGCCCAAGAAAATGAATGTCCAATTTTTCAGAATTTTTAATGTGTAATCACAATTCTCGTAAAATTTGACATTCATAATTCTCGGACTTCCATGAGAAATTTTCTTTGGTGTTACTACAGATGATTTATTACATCTTCAGCCCTTGAAAAATGTAAAACAAAGAATGCAAAATTCTTTAAATTATTCTGTTTTTTTTGTTTTTGTCCACTGAAAATGAAAATTACTCAATTTCCTGGTGGATTCTGTCTTAAATTATCGGTATGCCTATGTAGAAATTCATTTTCATCCTTGGTTCATTTTATTTAAGAAAGAAAAAAACTTTCATATTAAAACCAAGGAAAACTTGCAACAAAACACTGAGTTTCCAAGAACTTGTAGCCCGCACCGCAGCTGGCGGTTTGTTTGCTGTGTGCAGGGTGTTGTTTTCGTTTGTAGTTTGTAAAGTGAGAGATGTCTCTTAGACACCCCAAATGAAACCGCCAGCTAGTCTACGTAGGTTAAAGAACTTGTTGATCACAAACTTTGTATTGTTTCATTAAAACATTGAAACCCCTAACAATTCCAGCCATCTTGACCTACTTACGCTTGGGCAGTATTAATAACGTGGCATATTTACAAAGCTTTCCATTTATAAACCCACAAAGGGCTAACACTAATTAAGAGATAAGAGATATTAACTCCATTTATGTACATGTAGCTTTCTGTTAAACACACAACGGCAACTTTAACTCATAATTTGTGGTCCAAAGTTTGCATAATCTGGACACAAAAACCAACTTACGACCTGTTCCCTTAAAGGCCACTTTGCTTTGGGCACAACGTCGACTCTAAAATTTTTAGGTAATTGTGAATCTAGAAATTGAAACTAAAGGCTGGTTATTAAAACAAAGTTTAGGTGGTGTTTAACAGAACTTGCGCATTCTAAGTCATTTTTCGATTGTTTTACCATCCTTACCGGCCATATCTAGAAAACATTGTTTGTTGTTAAGAGCATCAAAAAGCCTTCCAGGCTAGGCTGAAAAGATCATTTAATATCTATTTTGGGGGCCCAGACATTTTTTTAAACCTCATTCTATCAGTAAGGCTCTGTTTTAATAACCAACTCTGACTGTTTTGTGCAAAATACACATATACTCCGGCAGAGAAATCACATACTTTGCTATAAGGCCCGTTTAGAACCCTATATAGAGTTACACAAAATGACATTTGAATGATGAGAAAGACATCGAATCATTCTGAAAAGCGCAAGTGAACTATAATAATAAGAATATCGTTTTAATGG